TGTTCAATACTTTCACACACTGAGTTTGTTTTGTGAGACATTGTAAGGCGCAAAAACGGCTCAATTTTTTTCTCTATATAATGTGATACTTTCTAAGTAATAGCCTTCGTTGTTAAGATATTCAACAAATTTTAACATGGCGAAACATATCACAATTGTTTCTTCAATTATGACATATTCCTATAAATACAAAAAAGATTTATATACATTTTTCGCTTGCTTTTACCTGTGTGATGCTTGAAAACATCTTTAGTGTGAAGATTTCTCCTCGGTAAAAGACAACGGTCGAAAATATTGAATGCTTATACAATATATACAGAATAATGTTCAATTCCGCAATTCCATTCGTTTCTTCATGCGCTCCCTCATTTATACTTTCTTTCTCTCATATATTTACAAAGTTTAATCATCAGTCTTCAGGCTGCAGTCTGTCAACAGTTGTATGTACATTAAGAATATTATTTACAGAGATAGGAAGTTCTTTGTTTAACTAGAAGAAAAGTCAGTTTTTCGTAACTCTTTACACAATTTTGATGCCGTTATCAGTGTGTAATTTCGTCAGTGTCTTTTTAACGCGAAGAGCAGTTAAGCGAACCGGTGGGTTTGCGTGCCAACATTCCGACATAATTTTGCTTAACGCATATAAAACCTGTAAGAAAACGAGAACGATACGTTATTCGATCCGTAAAAGCGACAGGGATAATTAAATTGAAGAATTACGAAAAAGTATGTTTTCCTTACCGAATCGTTATCCCATCTCGTCGGGATAATTGGACGTAGTCGTTTCACGCAAACTACCAAGCGCATATCCTCAAAATCTGGATCGCTTGGTACGACATCGTGGTAAGGCAAGGCGTAAGGCTCCACCATAGAGTTTTTACCGCCTGTGACGCATCTTCTGCACGCCTCCCAGAACACAAGACCGATAGAATACATATCTGCCATTTTGAATGCGTCGAAAGAAGTTGTATTCAGAGTCTCGTCTAGCACTTCTGGCGCCATGTAACGCCGCGTACCCACTCGAGTATTCGGAGCAATATCAATTTCTCCGCTATCGCTACAGAAAAGCAAATACAACATTGACGACTTGGAAGGAGATTAGTATCGCGTAGTATTTTATTGGCGATAAACATCTTCGAAAAATGTAAATATCAAATGTTTGCATACCTGATGTAGCGAACAGCCAGTCCGAAGTCAGCTATGGCACATTCTCCATTCCTTTTGACTAAAATGTTTCTGCTCTTAATATCTCTGTGAGCTATTGCAGGTTTGCCCTGTGTACCGAATATTTCCGTATGTAGATGCGTGATGCCGGCCGCGATCGACGAGCAGATCGACAAAAGGCTCTGGTGATCTAGCACGGTCGTTTGCAAGTAATCATGCAACGATCCTCTCTCGTGATAATCCGTTATTAGCAACATTTGAGTCCAAGATCCAGTTCCCTTGATATCGGCGGCGATGAAGCCCAGGATGTTCTCGTGTCTCAACAGCACGGTTTGGTAGATTTCCGTTTCTCTGAACCAGGACGCTTCCTCCAGCGTGAAGAAGACTTTCACAGCCACTCGTTCGCCGCCTCGCCATCTGGCGAGCCATACCTCGCCGTAACGTCCTTTTCCCACGCACTGCGACATGGCTAATTGTTTCGCGATAGTCTGTTGTACCAGGAGCGGCAGCCCCGAGCCAGAGCCGCTGCTTTGATCAATGAACTCCTTGAGGGTACCCTGCGGTACTAGACATGGATCCCGCTCTTTCTTCCGGCATCTGTGATACGCAATTCCTATTGCTATCGAAATGAGCACCAACATTGCCGATAGGGACACCACCAAGATAATGAGCGGCACTCCCGACGCGATGATTATAGGATCGGGTAACCTGGTAGGACGAGGCTTACGGGTTAACTCGGGATATACATCCTGGTTACACAGATCTCTGTCGTTGCAACATATTATATTTTTCTCTCGCAAATGGGGAACTAGATTTCCCTTGCATTGCATTAAGCCGCTCTCGTCGGGTGCCAAGCAGCCGAATGAATATTCGGCTACGAAATCTAGACTCTCAGTATCCCATACTTCCTCCACTGCACTAAAGCAGTAGCCTTTTGGCCGTAAGACGCATGTCCCATTTTGTTTGTCGTCGGGGCAAAATCCATCACAGTAGCAAATCGTACCCAGCGCTGTAATTGAAAAATTAATATAATATTACTGGAGATTGTCGATCTCTGAATAACTCAAGATAATACGTACAGAAAAAGAAATATAAATCGTATTTACTCATTCAAATATTACTCTATAATTACGTGATCTCTCTGAGATAAAAAATACGCAAACCGAGAGCGACAAAGTAGAAGAACGACGCGTTTTCTTAGAATTAAGTGAGCAATCGTATTGCGCGAGGTGCGGTAAATAATTCAATAATTGATATAAGGAGAAGGCTGATAGGAGAGAGATTAGGTGCGGAGCTGAGCGGATTCGAGAGGTTGTTTGACAAGTCGCGAGATGTGTCGCGTAGGCGAACGACCGTCGGTCGCGCGTCCCACGAAGAAATGTATACCATCGTGTGGAGAAAGGAGAGATATAGGTGCGTCTCGCATCGGAAATCGGAGATCCTTCGTAAGCACGTTTCGTGTTGATATAAGCCATCGAGAGACCGATAACTTGCGCCGGTAATAAATCTTGCGTGTATATAAAAGTACGATTACCTTCATGCGAGTATCATATTTTGCCACTCGAAAAAAATGTTAACATTCTAACGGATCTCTGAATAAAAAGAAATAAATAAGATAGTGGCTAAAAATATGGAATGGAAAAAACTCGATTGAGATTGTCAGATTTATCTAGATAATTATAGAAATACTGCATATAACTATATAATTTATGTTTGTACGTTCAGATTTCACATAAAATTCAAAATAAGAACGTAAATATAAAGACAAAATAAGCAATTAATATAAACTTTTCTGTCGTTAAGGAAAAATAATGTACTTCAGAGAAGAGGACAGAGAAAGAAATCGAAATCAAAGTTATAAATGTAATAACTCATGTTCAAAATTTTATTATCACAATTAAATTTATGTACTTGAAGAGAGTTTCTTATTTATCAAGTCTCAAAACGCATTGACCCAAAATTGAACGTTTGATTTGTTTTTGACTTATTGATAGATTGCGAAACAGAGATTTGTTAGCAGGCACCACCGCCGCCTCTGCGGACGATAACGGCAAATTCGATGTAAACACACGGTGTCACGTTTCTAACGAGTATGCGAGCGACGCGACGACCGTCTCGCTCGCAGCGGGACACAAAAGGAGAAAAGAGGAAGAAAGCTAAAATACTCGGGAACACGCACGGAGGCTGCGCTTATCTCGCCGCGGAATTACTCTGGCGTCTATTTTACGGTGACCGCTCTATTTATATCCCGCGCGAATATCTGGATGACGGATTGATCCTTCGTGCGTTCTGCATCCGTTCTACCACTCCCTTCCCTCTCTTACACAGGAATGCGGTTCTTAATTTTGACATCAATTCTGAACAATTTAGAAATATGCTAAATGGAATTGACGTTATAAAAGTCGAAACATATAAGTGTCAACATTTGTGCCACGCTTACATTAATTATATTTATAATTAATTACAATTATTTAGTAATTAAGTTTCTTGTATAAAAAAAATTGATTTTATATTGGTTGAAAATTTCGAAACTGAAAGTGACAATTTATTAAACGCGCCTGCTCTCTTTATGTTTAAGTCCTTCTGAGAAGTTATGCTCAATCGAATCGACTTTCGTGATCTCATTCGACCGAGTCGCAAGAGTAATATCGTGACCATGTCTCTCAAGCGGAATGAACGTAAACAAGGTAAGCGTGAAAGCAACGAACTCTCAAGTACTACGACTATCACGCGACTATCTCACTTATTCTTGAATATCTCATACGTAGAATAGTAGCTTGGAAAGAATATTGTTTCCATGTTAGTAAATGTTCCCGTCAATTAAAATAACAAGAATACTATCATTATCCACGTTTATGAGTTAGATAATCTAAAAAAAGCCCAAGCACCTAACCTAACCTAACCTATACAGAATTCTTAACACAAAAGAGAGATAACATAAAATTCTTTTAAACTTTTATCTATATATATCATTATATTATCTACTTAAAATTATTTTTATTCAAGACTAAAGAATTTTATTAGAGACCATTATTTACTAACAATTATTCACAACTGCTTGCTAGTATTTTTAAACTTTTTCCAAAATAAAATAATCGGAAAAAAACATGAAGTATTTTTAGCAGTCGCAGCTCTGATTTGACTTACAGCGCTTATCAATTCGTTCGTCTCCGGCGTGAAAAGCTGCAATAGACTGTTTAGAAAACTGTCATACACGCGCGCGAATACATCTGTAAGCATATACGAGAGGCGTAACGCGCATATCTGCTTTCGTGCCGCTCTCGCGACGCAATCGGCGCCCGTAATCACGCCGAAGGTTTCAATGAATCGCGCGCGAGGCGACGTGCCAGCTAGTCGCGGACTTTATCAGCGTGGCAAAGAGCAGTATCAGCGATAGCCCAGCCGTGATGCGTCTCTGTCTATGAGTCGCCGAATAGCGAACTTTGCTGGCGACTTCTAGAAATGCTGACGCTGCTAATTTACGAGACTACAAGTTTTCTTTATTTTCATTCTTTTCATATCGATCGCAACACTAATATGATACTGAACGTAATGAGTGACAATCTGTAATATCTTCCTGAAAACATGATCACAGAACGTAGATTTTTTTAAGACAGAGTTTGTAAGGTGATTATAACTTGCCCATTAAAATATATATAAAATTGATTTGGAAATTGTGCAAATAAAGTTAGAAATAATACAGTTGTGTAAATATCAGATGGAGGTAAACTTGTGAAAATTGATTTTGGTTTATGTACAAGGAAACGTTGATTTATGTTGAGGTATGTCGAGAGATATTTCTATGTTATCTTATCCCTTTTTTATCGCATTATCAATATTATATTTATTAGCCGATAGGTGATTTTGTGGATCCGTTTGACGTTTAAACATCAAAATAATTATCGCTAGAATATCTTTCTAAGAATCGCTAGAATTGCTTTAATTTAAAAAAAAATGTATATTTTTATTATAATTTACGTCAAGTTTATTTTATTGTAATATTAATTCATTTTGATGTTTGCTTAATTCGACGATATTACCGATGATACAGTATCTTGTGTAACCGATAAAAAAAAGCAATATTTCGGAACGCTGTCGCGACAGAAACGGCCCTGTTGAGTTGCACGTGTTTGTGCATAGGAAACTTAATATCCGCGCGTCGTGTTGCAAATAACATTGTCGAGAAAAGCGGTGCAGCAAACCCGCAAGCTTGCATACGTGTAAACGTGATACACCGTCATCGTAATTTTCGTGGAAGAACAATCAGAGCCGTGCATGCGTAATCCTACCCCACAGCGGGAAAGCCCCCGCTGATAAAAGAGATCATCTCCGGCGCAAATTGCAGTTTGCAGCATTCGACAGGCAGTAAATAAAGGCTTAAAATGATACACAATTTTGAGGAATATCCAATTTCTCAATATGAGATGATTACCGTAATCAATTTATATTAATTTAAGTTGAATCAAATCATTATCTGCTTTTTATTGTAAATAAAAAATGTTTTTATTATCACAAATAAAAATAAAGATTATTTAGCGAACTTTAGACGAATTTCTAACCCGTCGGTTTTTTATTCTAGCCATAAATTATTAGAACTATTAATCATTGTTTTCATCGCGCTTATCTTATTATTCAGATCGAGCGAGCGTTTTATTCCGATTGATATTTTCCTAAATTCTGAGATTATATATCTCGATTTGATAACGATCGCTTCCGGTATTGCACAAAAAAAAGGTTCGTCGTATTTCTACAAAGCACATTACGAAATAGCGTATTTTTATATCGCAACGCGGATATACTCATCGCCTACATGTTACATTGAGTAAAAGACCGCTTTTATTCGACTTATTCATCTTACACGATGTGCACTTATTCATCTTACGCGGTGTCCTTGCGCGCTTCGCGGAAAGCAACGTCGTGTGTATGCAGCGGAAAAAAAAGAAAAGGAAAGAACGCGTACGCAGAGAAAAGAAAGGGAGAGATAGATCAAGAGCTCGAGTACGAAATTACGTTTAGCGTGTTATTCGCGAGAGGAGAGACGAATGTCGCTAAAACGACGTCGACGCTTAACCCTTTGATGTATTTCGAGTCGTATGCACGCCGCCGACGCAACATAAACAATCTCTACTTCTCACGACATGGACAAATAGAATCCCATATCTTTACTCGAGATCTAGCGCTAAAAGTAGTTGATTTAATTGCGCGTTTTGATTACCAAATATGAAGATCGAGTCTGACGTCACTCGAGATGCGAAACGGATGTTAAGCTGTCAGTTAAGGTCAGTCATTTTGAAAGACACGGTTTTTCAAAACTCTGATTTTAAAATATAAAAAACTTTAAGGTAATTCTATATAAAAGCTCTTTATTATTGTATCGTTCTATAACAAGTTCTTTCTAAAACATAAAAAAGTAATACACATGCGGAGCAAAATCGTTTTCAACATTTTTGGCTACAAAACACTTTCTAAAGTGGATGATTCAACATTGTTATTATTGTCATCATACAATACTTGACAACGAACGTCGGTCAAGTACAGTAAATTCGTAGATTGAAATAAAGCAAGTGTTTAAAAGTGCCGTATGTTGAAACTGCTGCATTTCAAAGGGTTAAAGTCTGGTGTCACATCCGCGACGTCATCTCGTTGATATCGAAATCGTACGCAGCGATCAGTTGGTCCAGTAATCGCGCGTAAACGCTCGAATCCCGTGACACGAGGAAAAGAGGGAGAGAGAGAGAGAAAGAGGGAGAGAGTGAGAGAAAAGCTTCGAGAATGGAAAAGGAGGGAAAGAAAGAAAAATGGAAAAGGTCGCGATGGCGGCGAGAAGCAGAGCGAATTCTCGGCACTGCTGGTATTTCAGTCTCTACCTCATCTCTCTCCCTTCGTCTCTGCCGTTCTCGTCTCGACGTAAAAAAGAACGGCCGCGTGCCATCCCAAACGGCGGAAATTCTTTCGTAAAAACATCGCAAGAGCATTGCGGAACGACAGAAAAGTCTTTAGCGAGAGGAAAAACAAGGAGGATGCAGAATGTATATCCGTAGCAATATCAGACGAGAGAGATCAAGAAAAACACGATACGCGACAATACGGCAAACGCGACAATCGGGCGACTAGAAGAAGCGCCACACGCTATGGAATCCGTCGGCCGTCGGACGATTCCGCGCCGTAGGGTGGCTCTTCCTGGAAATCGTGGCAAAAAGCGGGCGATACAATCGAGGGCGCGCCGTAGGGCAACGATCTTTCATGGTAAGGCGCAAGAGATCCGTCGGCTGCTCGTCGTGTTTGTCGACCGACGGTTCGTATTACCGGGAAGAGACGAGTGTGCGAACGGTGGAGAGGAGTGGACAGACGAATGACGGGTCGCATCGTCGAATTACACATCTGTGCCGCAGAAGGCGGACTGTTGAAGCTAAAGACCGGAGAAACGTGATCGTTCTCTCCCGCCGCGCGGAGGTCCGTATATCCGATCGATTGTCGTGGCGCGCGACCCGGTAGCGACTGGACGCTTCGTTCTTCCACACTTTGCCGTCGGCAAGCACCGTCGGCAAGCACTACGCGTGTCGCAAAGGTCACGCATGAGCGGCTGTACTTACCGCCGATGCATCTCATGGCGAGCACAGTCAGACCGAGCCATAGGCCATATTTACATCCGTGTCGATCCGTAGTAGCGGAGAACACAGCCATTTTCTACACTCGGGAGCACATACTTTAATGACGTAGGGCGCTCCGCGTCGCGCCGCAAAGCGCAAGCCGTTCACGAGTCGGTTGTTTCCGTCGGGTGCTGGAGGGGCAAGCTAGGGCGGGTGGGACGATGTCTCGTGAATCGTCGACTCGGCGAGAGAGAACATAGAAGAAGAAGCGAAATGACGCTATGGGTCTCAAAACAGTTCTGTACCAAGAAATCGCCGTACCTCACTGACGTGTGCTCACCCCGATCTTGTAAAAAGATAAAAAAACTGACGTGCTAACAATGACGTATTGACAGACAGGCTCCAGTATTATAGCAAACTTTAACCGTCAAATAATACGTCTCGATGAATTTTTACGATAAATTCAGGTCAAATCTCTTGATTTTATCATTATAAAAATAAACTTTGTGTTGACGAATGTGTGTTGACAGGTAAAAATTAAGTTGTGTTTTTAGGATAAAAGGATTAAATTCTGAAGATTAAACTCCATATCTATAAGCAATGATTATTGTGTCGCGCTGAAAACATGTACATTAAGAACTACAATGAATATAGTTCGAAGTCCCGGGAAAGTTCCCGGAAGGAAGTTTCCTCTAGTTCAGAGTTCAAAACTGGAAACTTTCCCGAGGCTTCGATCTATAGCAATGAATTAAAGATAAAAATAAAAAGATGCATTATCTTCCTTTTTTAAAGAATCACTGGTACCACAGTAGTTAGCACGAGATTAACATTTTCAATTAACGATCTCATATTTTCGAAGAAGAATAACTATTACAAAAAAAAATCGATCTATTTTAAAGAAGTCTCAAAGTTCCAAAGATCCAAAGATTATCTCTTCACGAAAGTGTACCTTTCAAATGTTCGTTAGAAGCACTGTAAACCTCGTATCATTTAGAAAGTTTACGCGGGAAATCCCGAGTACGGACCTGACTTCGTTGTTGTTAGAGAGAAGTGCAGGCGCCCATAGGGCGCCATCGTGCCGCCGACGACCGATGGCCGACGGCAGCAGAGGCTCGAAGATCTCTTCTTCTCTATTTCTCTCTTTTCCTCCGCTTCGGGATCGCGGCCGCAACTCCATCGCGATACTCGATCTCGCTCTCGCGCGATGCTCCTCTCCGCCAAAGCCTGAGAGGGTCGTCGGCGCAACGCGGCTTCCTCGGAAAGGCGCGAATGTCTATGCGCGACGCGTCAACGCGCGGAATCTAGAACCCGGTTAGAATCTGGAATCTTTTTCCCGGAGATTTTTACAGCCGGATGCATTAATAGTGCACGCAGTGCGCTTAGAGATTCAATTATCTACTATTCCATAAAATTCAAAAAATGTATTTTTTGTTTATATTTGTTTATATAATTAATTTTGTGAATCAATCGTCTCGAATTTGCGAATAATAGAAAAGGTCACCGGTGAAATAACGTGCAAAATATTTTTACGTATGCAGACGCATTGGATATTATTAATGTATCTGATTGTAAATGGATAGTGGAATATGCGAGATTATGGTAACTTTTTTTATATATAATGGTATTCGCAACACTTTTCGATAGGTCTCTAATGTGTATTAGTTTGATCGAATTTCCTACGAAAGCTCGCTTTTGCGAAAGCTTTTTGTGCACACTGACATTTCTACAATAGAATCGTGAATGCTAACAGAAAAAAATATTGTTTTAATTCCGTAATATATATTGATAAGATATTTGTTTCGTAACAAAGGGCGACGAAAAATGATCCCAAATGCGACAAATCAAATAGTGTCAAAGTTTCAAAACTTCGAAGAAAACAACTGAAAGATAAGATATGTTCATTTAATCACACTTTCAGCATGTAACTTGCTTTCTTCTCTTTTTGTCTACGCATTATTCTATCCGAAATATAGAAAAAATACAAGAAAAATCCGGTTATAATATATCTCCACATACATGAATTTTGATGATGGGTCGAAAGAAACCGTCCATAATTAAGCTCTACGGGGATACGACAGCACGCTGTGTTTTTAAGTAGTGATGGCGACGTGGGCATGCTTTCAGTGTAGCGCAGCTCGGCTCGGCTACGCGCGACGTGTGAGTATGCTGCCATCGATATCAGATTACCGGTTAATTGCCGGCGGCGCGGCATGCCCGGCCCCGAAGATTGTTGTACTCGAATTAGTAATATTTCACACTTCAGAGGGGCGACTCGCTACTGCTTTTCAGACTATCTGACACCGAAATTCTTACTGCATTTTTAATGAAATCCTTTGTTAATATCGTAAGCACTGTAAAATTTGACTTCTATTAGTACTATTTGTTGATAAAATTATTTATGTGCTTTAGAGTAATATACACTGTTCGACTAAAAAATCGACGCATTACGATCAAATAATTCTAGATCTGTGATAAGTAACTTTGCAAAATATTAATTTATAACATTTAAGACATGTATTTTCTTAAATAAATGGTTCTTGTATTGTGATATTTTTTAATTTTCTCATCAATATAGTATACGCAGAATTTCACTGCATAAAAAAGGCTTGCTTTAGAACGCGTTGATTTTTTGCCAAACACTATAACTTCGGCTTATTTGCATCTTTTATAGCAAAGTTATAAATGGTTTCCCCCCAAATATCTTGCGGTAGATAATCGTTTGCAGCTTACGCAGCTCGAGTAGAAGTAAAAAAAATTCTTAGCGCTTGGTGAATATTAAGATCCAACAAAGACGCACTGTTCGCGGTAGGACAAAGCCCGTGGTAATTCTTTCGCGCCGCGGCAGCTGCCGGAACGGCGGCGATCGGAGGATCGTCGTCGTGGCGAGGAGCACGGAACGTCGGTTTTCGCATCAAGATTAAGTTGAACGCGCGAACGACGGCGCCAATATAATGTTACCCGCGCATAACCTGTTGCGTGTGTATCGCTCGAGCGTGAAGTCGCGCGATCCAGATTGAAGCGCGACCGACCCTCGACGCGCCCGTCCGTCACGGATTTCAGAGGGGGGGGGGGAGGAGGAAGGAGGGCAGGGAACGTCAGTCATTATATTTTTAGAGATGATCTTCGGCACTTTTATGGAAAGCACGTCCATACGCGCTGATCCCGTTCATGACGTGGCGAACAACAACACGCATGATACACGGGTTTTTCTCGCAGAGATCATCGTTGATTTTTCGTACATTTTACCATGATTTATGTGCTAAATTAATATAAAATGTTTCCAAATCTCAGATTTTTTGACTGCATCTTTGACGTATTTAATATTGAATTTTTCTCGGTGAGAAACTATTTGCTAGAATTTGTCGACGTTAGATATTAAATTTTTTCTCATTAACGTACTGTTTACACCAGTGTAAACACTTAATATCGCTTATGCGGTTAGCGTTGTCGCGTGAGAACTCGTGGACGGGATAACAAGCAGCCGCGACGATTGACGGTAAATCACTTAACATCGCTATCAAGCGTACAAAGTATATAGCGCGACCGCTAATACGCGCCTGACTATTTTCTCGAAGGTAAACGACAGCTCTTTAGTTTAACTTCAGCGCCCGCTTCATCGCCAATCTTCTGTGTACGACGCAGAAATTATTCTAGTCTAGCGTGTACTTATAATGATTTGCAGATGCTGGCAAAAGACGCAATAAAAGTCGCTTGTTCGCGCGCGCGCGTGTCGCGCGAGGCGTGAAAGCGCCCGCAAAGACGATGTTAGCCTCGCAATGGCAACATCTTACGCGCAATTTCTTGCAATTAGCCTACTTGAACAAGAGGCCTCACCTATCGTTGCACAAGCGATCAGCCGGAAATCGATTCGATTCGATGGCTGCACCGTACGAAATAATCATAGATAAAAAAAACATTAAGCAACTCAGCCATGATCATGTCGTTTGTTCCGCGGGAAAATCATGATGAATTCGCTAAAAGAATGATTCGCTGCCTCTGGACAATGGGTGACTGTGGGCTTTAATCAATGTTTAATTATTAGAAATTACCGGATGATCCGGCAGGCGCGGCTGATAAATATGCATCGTACGTTCTGCAAGGCGCATTAACGACAATAGTTGACTAACGAATGATTGTTAATTGTCGGAGATAATTACCGCGTAGCCTGCCTCGTTAGCCGCCTCTGTGCTTCTAACGAACTTAGGAGGGCGATGCGAATAAACGACAGTGCGTGATGCTGAATTGTCGCGAGGATTTCTCGACTGTAAACGATTCAATAAAACGATCTAACGCGATTGCGCGGAGTGTTAATGTCCTGTGCTATTTCTCTGGAAGTCGTGGAAAAATCTTACAAGCTTACCGAATCTCCCCATAAATTAAATTGTGTTTTTTTCAGCTTTATAAACAACCGGGTAAGCGGATTTAAAAGCGAAATGCCGCGACCACCTTTTATTCATGAACGTCTCGGCACGGTTACGTCGGGCGTCGAGATTTTTAAGCGTCGTGTTAACGAAAAAGGAGGAGTACCGCCGACAATCCGGAGCTTCGAACCGGATTTCGGGATTAGAATCAGATACCCCCTTCTACGAAGAGCCGCATTCGTTTTATACCGTGGCGAGGGCGACGGAGCTCTCGCCTTTCATACACCGTGACTGTCCGATCGGCTTAAGGTTTCGCGACAATGGGTAACAAAGGCAAGAGATTCTGCTCCTCCTGCCTCCGGCATGAAATCACGATCCATTCGTCTCGGTTGGAAATATATTATGTTGGCAGGCAACGCGAACGCCTGTTAAAAAGAACGCTACGGTTTGTGCGCACGAACGTGACACGGCGGAAACACAATTGCCACGATCGAATCTCCGGCAATTCTTGTTATTTCAACGCACTACAAAATCCAGGATGAGACGTTCTACGGATTGTTGTCAATTCTTCTTAACATCGGACTACGATTAAAAATATCAGCCGTCTTAGAATCCTGACGAAGACTAACTAAGAAACAGATTATTTGACAGTCTTAAAAGTAAAAACAATTTTTCGAAAATTCGGTTTCTGATTTCAGTAAATAAATTACGAAAATATATATTTTATAATTTTTAGTTAGATCTCAAATAATTTCTATATCAAACAAAATT